TTTTAGTGCCCAAACATTATGCAGAACGGTCCACAGGCTTGGATTCACGCGCAAGAAGGTATGGTACGTGCAGATTGGTTTGCTCATTACTCATTACTCAGTCTTGCAGAACGTTCTTTAAGTCTGGTAAGGCTTTCACTAGCTCAGAACGTAGCTCTGAAACGGTCTCTAACACTGGAAAATTGGGTAAACTTCTTACAACGTAGCTAGACTTCTTCTTGGAGTCCAAAACCCGAACTTCTAAAGTCGAAAGAACTTGTTTTGAATTACCCGCCGTCGACATTTTCTGCCACGCATGTGATGCAGCACGTTCAGATTCCTAGTTCCACACGCGCGTAAAACTGAATATTTAATGAGACACGTGACATTTATTGTCCTATAAACCTCTTTTCACTTGGACAACGTTTTTGGGATCGACTGTAACTTTTGAGTTTTAAATGCTCATAGTTTGCGCATGCTCATAGTTTGTAAGCAATCCAATCTCGTACCCAGAGYATGCGTTTCTTCTGGCCTTCGGCAAAGAACGAGGGTTCTGGCATAATCCATTTTTTGACCAGAATTTCTTGGACTTCCGGTACAAGAGCGCATGAGTTCAAAGGCTTGCCGAAAATAAATTTAAAAAGAATAAACACAGAACTTGTTTTAAAGCATGATTTTCATTGATTATATTTCACTTCCGGAATATTGCGCATGCGCCAAAAAATGGATTRTGTGAGAGCCTTCGTTCTTCGCTGCAGGCCAGAAGAAACGCAGGCTCTGGGTACGAGATTGATTACCATCGTGCTGAAAGGAATTTACGAAACTGTCAAATTTCATGATCAGTCGTTTCTCGAAACATAGAAAATTCTTTTATATTWTTTTTCTTTGTTATCATAATGGTTGGTCCAACAAAATTATCGGTCCGATTTCTTTCTAACATACGGGAAATGCCTACGGTCAGTAAGCAATGGATCCGCCTTCTCAAAAGTATCGTTGATRACAAACATAACACAAAAGACACCACACTTTTCTCGAAGGAATTCAGTGGCATTTCTTCAATTTAAAAAGGGTTCATTATTGCCGGTTTGCCACTCCTAATGATATTGTATTTTTGCTCTTGTAGCTAAAGTCAAGCCGTGTCCTGAACGTACCAGTGGATGCAAGGAATGCACGGCTGATTCAGTATGCTTTTGGTGCAAGGCTACTGGTAACTGTTCCTACTATCCCCACGATGCCTTTGTTCCTGACAACTGCCCCAGCGACAGCTGGTACTACAAGAGCTGCTCACATATGGAGTTAATAGTTGTACTGGCGCCTATTTTGTGTGTTCTCTTCTTCCCCATCTTGATATTCATAGTCATTGCTATTGTTCTGTGGTGTATGAGACGAATGGGGTACAAGGGAATGGATGACCCGGACAAAGCTGAGGAAGTGCACCAATCACCGCCAAGAGAGAAAAAGCCGTTCATGATGAGTCACAAACCACCAGCGAGTAAAATCGAGGAGTTAAAGAAGAAGTATGGTTTAGAAGATAAGCCGTGAAGTTCACTCGTCTCGCTACCGTGACTTGCGAGCCAGAAAGGTCTATAGAGGTTTTGCACCATCACGTGACGGCGCCATAATCCAGCTTTGACTGCCTGGGGTTAGATGGCAGAACAATAAAATCCCTTTACTCTCGGAAATGRAATTCTTTCTCATTTAAAACGATTGTGTTGTTCCTGCCATCTAACATGACTGCCGTCACGTGATGGTTCAAAGCCTCTAGACCTTTCCCGAATAGCGCAGCGCACTGATTCTAAAAATAGCTTAAAGATTCGGACAAACATTGCATTCTGTTTAACCGCTACGAGGATTATACGAACCGATTTTTTTATTTTTACTTAAAGTTGCAATAATAATCCATGTAAACTAAGATCAACTGCGATCGGCTGTGAAAATTATCTGCTGAGAGTAAACTTGTAAGTTTGTTTGTCCGAATTTCGCCTTGGTCTTCGTTTTTATGGCGTCACGGTTGCGCTGCGCTGTTCGCTTCAGGCCCTGGCTAAACGAGGAAACATGTTTCCAGAAACATGTTTACCGCGCGCATGTTTCCTCGATGTTTCCCAGTTCAGCCACATGCGAAACATTGCTACGTGCAACAAATTTTTGCTTCCAAGACGCAGAAAATTTCATAAAGGTCTTTTTTCAATAATAATAATTTGTCAATATGTGAATAACTATCGTTAGGCCATTTGTGTCATTTCCTACAACTACCAGAATCCCTTGCACACCTCCTTTTGTTTAGTTCATTAGCACCAATAGGACACTTGCATTATATACTCATGTACTACATCTACCAGAATCCCTTGCACACGGCCTTCTTTTGTTTAGTTCATTAGCACCAATAGGACACTTGCATTATATACTCATGTACTACAACTACCAGAATCCGTTGCGCATATAGATAGACATATATCATGACATAGACATATATCATGTGCCTGTTTCTACCAAAGCCAGAGCTACCAGAATGTATCCAAGGTATAAGATATCGATAAGGAATTAGTCTAATGAGTAGTAATTAAAACAACTTGGTGATTTTGATTATTTGTTCGTTTGTTGTTAYTGTTTTTCTTTCTCTTTTCTGTCTTTCTTTCTTTCTTTCCGTCTGTCTGTCGCTTGTAATTTCTTTTTCTTTTTTCTTTTTGTTTTCTTTTTGTTTTCTTTTTTGTGTTTTTGTTTTGTTTTTTTTGTTTTTTTGTTTTTTTTTCTTTTTGATTAGTTTTGTTTGTAGGTTTTTATGCTTGCTTGATACACCGTATCTTAAAGTTGAAATAATCGCAACAAGTCCGGCATTATTTTTATTCAATCAATGAGCAATAATTCGCCGAGGTAAATCCCTTTGTCTTGACTTCTTAATTTGTCTTCGCTTTACTCAGGTCTTTCTTTATCCGTTTGTTTCCTATTCATCTTCTTTGTTTAGTCTTCAATTTTATATGTAATATATATACAGTATGAGTGGCCGAGTTTGTATATCGGAATCAACACGGACACGAATACTGTAGATTACTTATCAAACGTCTAGGTTAGTTCCTTTGTGTTTCACTAAAATTTTCAGAAGTGAATCTGCCCAAGAAATTCCAAGTTAAATTTTATGCAAATGAACACGATTCTGTATCTGATTTACAAAACTCTTCACGGTCGTGATTTCTGTTGTTTTTTCCTCATGGAGTATTAATGAGTTTGATAATACCCTTAAACTACCTCTGGGCTGATCAAAGGAGAAAACCAGAGAAAATGAAGAAAACCCCTCGAATCAAGGGAGAGACCTAACCAACCATACACACATGCATGGGAGTCTAACCAGAGACCCCAGAGGAGAGTTTCCTAGCGCAATGTTCTTGACCCACATAATTTATGAGTTTTATAAACTAAGAATAAACTGTCATTTGTCATGTAAATCGCTGTACGTGAGTCATCACCTCCTCCTTTGTGCTCAGTTGCGCAGTAAAAAAATCCTTAAACAATTACATCCGTGTTTAAGACTGTTTTCCACAAAATTTTCATTTCAAGAAAAAAAAATCTTTCTACTATTTCTTTCTTTTTTTCTCTTTAGAGATTACTTTTATTATAGTAATCGTAGTCTAGWAGTTGTTCTCTAACTAAAAGTTTGATTTAAGACAAAAAWATGTTTTTAGTCACYTAGTRAATATCTAAAACCCAGACYCATTATATTTAATGAGTTAATCTAACAGGTTTTTTCTACACTTGCATGAGAAATCTCCTATTGCATGCTAATGRTTGTTATGMCAACAGTTTCCTTGGTAATGCAAATTACTATCTGTACTGGCTTGAACAGCTTCCTGAGTGGGGACTGTCATCTTACGTGATTAACTGCTTTCCTCATGTTTTTCTCGCTTGCAAATAAACTTTGTTAGTATACCAAATTTTTGCTTTCTCCTTTGTAGTTAGTCTAGAYATAGGGCTAAGAAAAGCTGCAGCAACTTTTGTTTCTACGTCGATCCAAGCCACTTTRTGTGGCTTTCTTTGTCTGTTCATTTAGTAGTTGTTGTGTAGCGACCTCATTCAGTACCTAAAGAACCTCCACCACAAAGACCACCACTACATCCAGGCTTCATGCCGCTTCCAAATGCACAGCAACCATTACAGATAGGAGCAAATATAAATAATAATATTCACAACAATTGGTTATTTTTATTAAATCAATGAGCAAACATTCGTTGAGGTGTAAATCCATTTGTCTTTAGTTTTTTTATCTCTCTTCGTTTTACTCAGTTATTYCTTTATTTGTTTGACGTTTCTTATTTATCTTTCTTTTTGTCGGTCGGTCGGTCGATCGGTCGGTCACTTAGTTGAGCATTCAATCTTTTCATTACCCTAAGAACCTGAAGAAAAACCCTCGAATCAAAGGAGAGACCTAACAAACTTTACTCACATGTGATGCCGAGTTTGGGAATCGTACCGAGACGAAKAGGCAAGTGTGCTAGCGCTACGCCACCATTGTACTGCGGGCCCGCATAAACTTATGAGATTCATGAACTAAGAATAAACTGTCATTTGTCATGTAAATCGCTGTACGTGAGTCATCGCCACCTCCTCATGTCTCTTCGTGCTCAGATCGGTGTTTAAGACTGTTGTTTTTCACATATCCTCATTTCAAAAAAATATCTTTCAAATATTAAGTATTTTCTACCTAGAGATTACTTTTTTATAAACGTAGCCCAGTAGTTTTCATCTTGTTTCCTCCTGAGATCCTTCCTCCGAGGTCTTTATTAAGAACATCTTTGCTTCACGATTTAACTGTAGAGTCTCTAATTAACTAAAAGTTTGATTTAAGACAAAAATATGTTTTTTTTAGTTTACAGAGTGAACATCTAAAACCCAGACCCATTTTATTTAATGAGTTAATCTAACAGSTTTTTTCTACACTTGCATGAGAAATCTCCTATTGCATGCTAATGGTTGTTATGCCAACAGTTTCCTTGGCAATGCAAATTACTATCTATACTGGCCTGAACACCTTCTTCCTGAGTGGGGACTGTCATCTTACGTGATTAACTGCTTTCCTCATGTTTTTCTCGCTACGAATAAACTTTGCTAGTATACCAATTTTTTGTCTTCTCCTTTCCAGTTATAGTCCAAACAAGAAGGCTAAGAAACGTTGCAGCCSCTTTTGTGCAAACTTAAAAGGAGATGTTTCTACATCAATCCAAGCCACTTTATGTGGCTTTGTTTGTGTGTTTATTTAGTTGTGTYGTAATGGCCTCGGCACCTATACAACCTCCACCACAAGGGCCACCACTACATCCAGGCTTTCCAAATGCACAGCAGCAATTACAGATAGGACCACAGCCAAAAAATCTTAAAGATATGTTGAGCGTGCTTCAGAGAACACAAGCTATGATGCTACAGTTGACTATCAGGTCAGTCGTTAAAATTATATTAAATACGTTTGCGACCACTATCGCTTTA